TCAGAGCTTTAACAGTATTATCATCCTCCCGATGACGAAGCCTTATTGGCAGCGGGATGCTTTCAGTGATCGTTTTATCAATTCGTCTATAGATGGTTTTTAACCGCTTCACATTTCGTGGTCATGGAATCATTTTCAAATTAACAGAAAGTTGAGAAAGAACTAAAAGGAATGGTGGTGGATTTAAGTTGCATTCTGGCACAAAAAGTAAAAATAAATCATGATCAAATTCGATGATAATATTATGTCTTGATAACAAAGATAAAATGACGGTTAAACGCATGGCAACATTTCGCGGGATTTTTTCTCGAAAATCTCGGAAGATCTCAGAGTCGACGTCGTATTTAAATCCATTTAAATACTATAATTTCAGTTCGCAAAAACCTGCATCTTCACATTTACGTCTATGTATCATTACTTTCAATATAATTTTCATGTCAGTCTAAGTTAACGGAAATCCACGATTTCAAGTCCGGAAATATGCGAGTAATAGTATTTTGTTAGATTTAGGAGGTAACAATTGTACCGTACGGTACACGGTACGACTTTTGTTAGTCGTTATAACAGGCTAAGAATACTAAGTATTCTATTTTTATACAGGCTAAGTATGCTTTTTATCTTTTTATAGTTAAGTTGTTGTGTTTTATTTGTATGATCACAAATTTTAAGTCAATTCAATTGAACATCGAAATTGAAATATGAATAGCTGGCTCTGGAAACTTTGATATTAATCTATTGTAGGTTAACATAATATGAGTATGAAAAGATAATTGGGGCTATAAATGAAGGGGGCAATTGCCAGAGCCATATATAGAGAGAGTCTGACCAACTACGTCACGAGGCGCCATCTTGTTACCCTCTCTTAGCTACAAGACGGCCGACGTTATCACTCGTAAACGCTCTAGAATTTACAGTTTTTAACCGATTTTGATAACCAATGATTGCTGTAACATAAATTAATTCCAGGGAGGCACCGCCCCACTTTCCTCTGCATTCCTGGCCTTTTTGTACGTATCATCAGACCATTTGCATCCTCTTCTCGATTGTTTTGCCATCTTGACCAACTGATCAGCATTGAAGACCTTCTTTAATTTTCTTTGAAAGCTGTTCTTTTGATGGCTTTTCTTTTTAGCATCTGTTCATTGCGCAGTTTTGTCCGTAAAGAAATAACTTCCTGCTCTAATGATTGTATCCTCTTTGTTCTCTATATACGGCTCTGACAATTGCCATGATATGTCTTATTGGTCTGTAGCCTTATATCTGATAAAAAGTGTTACCTCCCTTTAATCAGTCAGTCCACTTCATACCTATCACATGATACATCACATGTCAGTTGTTGTTACCGCCATTTTGCTCATATACTTCTATTCAATAAAACCCAGATTATATCCTGATATTAATGTCGTCTAATCATAACATGGTGTCAGAAGTGTGTCTACACTACAAGTTCTTGTCATGGATACGTTGAAGCCGCTAAGTGGTTTAGAATTAAAGGGAAAGTTGACTGAAAACTGGAAAAGATTTCTACAAAGGTTTGATCTTTATTTGACATTTTGATAGCCACAAGAGTCAAGAGCTGATACCAAGTCTGAAAAAGGGCTGAGGATATTTGGCACGGCATGGTAAATAATTATTTGCCACAGGTTTTCATTATTTGCCACTTGTCTTCATAAATGATGAAATAAACGATATTTTTACACG